AGTGCTAGGGCATCACAGCTCACAGCAACCTCCAGCTCTTGGGCTTAGGCAATTCTCTTACCTCAGCCTCCCGAGGAGGGGGGACTACAGACACCTGCCACAATGCCCAGCTATTTTTTGTTGCAGTTTGGCCAGGGCTTGGTTCAAACCCGCCACCCTCGGTATATGGTGCTGGCGCCCTATTCACTGAGCCACAGGCACCGCCCAGTAAAAGTAGTTCTAACAGAAACTTTTATAATAATACATGACTGCATTAAGAAAAAAAGAAATGCCTCAAAGAAACCACCTAATTTCAGACCTTAAGGGACTAGAAAAAGGACAAAGCCCCAAATTAGAAGTAGGGCCAGGTGTGGTGGCTTACATCTATAATCCTAGCACTCTGGGAGCAGGGGTCCTTAAACTTTTTAAACAGGGGCCAGTTCACTGTCCCTCAGACCATTCGAGGGCCGGACTGCAGGTCCCGGGATGAGTCGGATGCTAAGCAGGACAGGCAGTGGCAGTAAAAACACCCGGCGGGCCAGATAAATGTCCTAGGCTGGCCGCATGTGGCCCGCGGGCTGTAGTTTGAGGACGCCTGCTCTGGGAGGATGAGGTGGGAGGACTGCTTGAGCTCAGGAGTTTGAGATCAGCTTGAGCAAGAGCAAGACCCTATCTCTACTAAAAACAGAAAAATCAACTGGATGTTTTGGTGGACACCTATAGTCCTAGCTACTTGGGAAGCTGACGCAGACAGATGGCTTTGAGCCTGGGCAAGAGAGTGAGACTCTATCTCAAAAAAAGGAAAAAACTACTAAGTAAGTAATAAAGATGAGAGCAGAACTAAATGAAATAGACAAAAGCTGGCATACAAACCTATGTAACAGAACAAAAGCCTAGGAAAAAAACCCAACATATTTATAGATCTTCAAGAAAGTTGTCAAGAATACACAAAGGGCTCAAATTAAACAATAAGAAAAGTGCAAAGAACCCTCTCTATAAGTGGGCAAGAGATTTGAACAGAAAATTCTCTGAGGATGATAGCCAAATGGCCAAACAAACACATGAAAAAATGCTCATAATCTCTAATTATCAGAGAAATGCAAACCAAAACCACTCTAAGATATCACCTACCTCCAGCAACATTAGCCTACATCACGAAGTACCAAAATACCAGATGCTGGCATGGATGTGAAGAGAAGGGAACACATCTACACTGCTGATGGGATTGCAAACTAATATAGCCTTTTTGGAGAGATGTATGGAGAATCCTCAAAGATCTAAGAGTAGACCTTCCATTTGACCCTGCAATCCCATTACAAGGTATCTACTCAGAAGAACAAAAATCATTTTACCACAAAGACATTTGCACTAGAATGTTTATTACGGCTCAATCATAATTGCTAAGTAGTAGAAGCAACCTAAGTGCCAATCAACCCATGAATGGGTCAACAAACTGTGGTATATGTATACCATGTAATATTATTCAGCCATTAAAAAAGATGGAGACTTTACATCTTTTACATTTACCTGGATAGCGCTGAAATACATTCTTCTTAGTAAAGTATTGCAAGAATGGAAAAATAAATATCCAATGTACTCCATACTAATATGAAATCAATTTATAAACAATTACATGCTCATAAGAACTAGAAAACACTAATATAGTCCAGTTCATGGGTAGAGGGAAGCGGGGGTGGGGGGCTGGGGGGAGAACTTTTGGCAGAAGGAAGGCAAGTGGCGGGATTTCACCTAACGTGCACATTGTGAGGTTGTATACGCCCCTCGGGGGGCTCTTCTACAAATGTAACTTTACCCTGGAAATGAGAACAATGTAACCTAAAAATTGTACCTTGACATTAATTTGAAAAAATAAAAAAAATACACAATGGGGAAAGGGTAGTGTGAAGCAGAATCACTGTGCACTGGTTACCACTTCAGCCCAGTGCATCTTGTGCTACACTTCTACTAACTGCTTGAGTCTGGTGAGATAGAACACTCACACATAAAGCAATTTATTTCTTACAGATAAGGAGAAAGGACAACAGAAGTCTATGATTCAGAGCAAGGTGGTCCTCCAAGACTTAGAAAAAGCTTCTCAGGCTGGATGGAGTCTCAGTGTGTGCCCTACTTGCGCTGTAAATGAGGAAACTAGAAAAGTACTCTAGGCTTCATACCATAGGGCAAAGTGATTTGCTAGGTTAAAACGTTAAAGAATATACTGTTTCTAAAAGGGACAAGAACAGAGCTCAGAGTAGTCCAGCCAGTTCCTCCTTATCTCAGGATAAAGCATTCCCAGAATATTCAACAGTTTGGGTTTGTTTTTTTTTATTGATTAAAATAAAGCTGGAACAACAGTTATTCTTCAGAACTACAAGTGAGAAAGGGAAAAACGGGGTTGGCTCAAGGCCACACAGTCTTTTCAATAAATTGTGCTGTGAAAATTAAATGTCCACATATGGAGGGGAGGCATCTCAGTGCCTCTGACCCCAAAAGTTAGTTCCAATGCCTGGCTTCACTTAAATACCACTTGGCAAAAGCTAATGAGGCAAAAAGGGAAACTATACACACATATATGAAAAGTTTAAAATAGCACAGAGCAATGCCACAACAAACTAGTAAGCTGCATTTTAAAGTTAAGTGGGCCAATTACATAAAACTGTCCAGGGTAGTTATGCCAATTGAGTATCCTACTGACTGAGTGGATACCCCCTATCTATTTCTCGATGATCAATATCCTATCCTCATCATCACTTGTAGGGGGTTACAGGGGGTTGGGGTAGGAAAAAGACTGTGAGAGGAAGCAATGCACAAGCTTTGTTAGGTGGTGCTGGGACAGGGTTGCATGAGAGAAGTCCCTCAGTGTATGAGACCCGTCAGGGACTTACTAAGCAGGAACCACCATCCAGAAAGGTAAGAGGACAAGAATATGCTCAGAGGAGAGGGATATTTGAGAGGGGGGTTACATGTGTAGGTGATATTGTTTAGCAGCATGGCAAGGAGTCTCTGGCACAGAGATCTCTGAAGGGTCATAGCAACCTGGGGTCTTATAACCACAGGGCTCCCTGTTACAAAAGGCCAGTAGATGCTGAGTGAGGTTTATGCAAAACATGCTGCCCACCTGTAATCCCTGCTACTGAGGAAGATCACTTGAGTACAAGACTTGGAGGCTCCAGTGCACTTCAGCCTGAACAACATAGTGAGAACCTATCTCTCAGAAAAAAAAAAAAAAAACCTTAAAAATGTATAAAATGTGAATTTTGTGGGTCTCAGCCTTGGCTTGAAGTGAATAAATTAAGAACCTAGGAGCCAATATACAAAGGCCATCTTTAGTACATTTAATAACCTTAATTTCACATCATACCAGAATACATTCCTTGAGGAGTAAAGATTAAAGAAAAATTTTTTTAAGAGACAGAGTCTCACTTTGTCACCCTCAGTAGAGTGTTGTAGCATCACAGCTCATAGCAACCTCCAACTCCTGGGCTTAGGCAATTCTCTTGCCTCAGTCTCTCTCCTGAGTAGCTGGGACCACAGGTGCCCGCCACAACACCCTGCTAAGATTTAAATATTTTAAAAAGTGATAACATTTGGAAAAAAATTAGGAAAATATTTTTAGAGTCCATAGTTTGGGAAGACTGTTTTTTCCTTTTATTGTTTGGGATTCAATCAGGGTACAAAGAATTAGGTTACAATGATTGCATTTGTTAATTAAAGTCCCTCTTATAATTATGTCCCACACCCAAGAGGTGTGCCATACATAGTGACTCCCATCCCCCCCTTCTGCCCACTCCCTCCTTCCCTTACTCCACCCCTTATATTTTCGACTGCCTTGAGTACACTAGATTCTTGCTTCCCTATTCTGTGATGCTTTACTAAGAAGAATGTGTTCCACTTCAATCCAGGTTAATACAAAAGATGTAAAGTCTCCATCTTTTTGAGAAGACTTTTAAAAGCAAACTAGGAAACCCAGAAACCATTTCATTAAGAATATAGATTCACTATGTAAAATTAAATATTTTACACAGATATAATACCATAAACTAAGTTAAAGGAGCAAAATTGTATTATCAACTCCATAGTTCCATAAATATTTGATAGTGAACATCAAAAATTATCGACAAAGTGTCTTTGTAAATTGGGTTTAAAAAGGGACTTCATTAACTTGACAAACACAATCTACAGCAAATAGCTGATTGGGAATCTTGGTACTCATCACTAACCAAGACAAGAATACTTAACTCCTTTCTGACTTAAAATATAGCTTGGGAGGCCCTGCACAAACACTGAGAAAAATGAAGTAAATTAGACCAAGAAAAAACTTCATAGAAAATATTATTCATATATGAAGTATCAAATAACGAATCAACAGTTACTGGAGTTTAGTAAAGTTTCCAGATAAATAGGTCTATTTAAACAATTATCAATGGCTTTCCTCTACAGGAGCAGTAACCAATAATATAATAAAAGGGAATACTAAAGGCTTTAAGGACTGAATGAATGGAAAGTAGAAGTGTATTTCATAGATTGCTAGGCTCAGAGTTATAAGTATGTATGCCCTGCCTACAGTGCTGTAGCAAGGTGGAGAAGAATAGGTATAAACACGATTAATGAGCATCCTCTACTCCTTGGCCACTTGCAACTTGGACCGGAAAGCCTAAAGTTTGCCCCGCCCTTAGGCCTAGTCAAGCACCGCACCCAGCCCTCATCCCTGGCCCTCAACCAGGTTTCACCCTACCTCCACCCCTAGGCTGGTCTTGCTCCAGCCCCAATCGGCAGGCGGAGCCAACAGTCTTCACGGCTTAGTCCCGCCACAGTTCCATCCGTTGTTCTAATTCTTTACCGCCAGTCCCTATGGAAACTAGTGTTTCTCATCCACTCGCGGCCATAACCTCCTTTGCGGTCCTTGGCGTTCCCCGCTAGCTCCCAACACTTCTCTGCGGGGTCACTTCGTCCCAAGTTCCCAGGCCTGAGGCCCCACCCCTTACGCTGAGGGCGGTGCCGACACCGAGTTTGCGCACGCGCGATCCGGCCGCCATGTCCCCCTGCCCCTCAACCGGTTCCTGAGGTAAATTTTTCCTTCAGTTCGCTCTCTATCCGGTCCAGCCCTACCTCACTCATCCCCGAGAGACCGAGGGCTTGGTCTGAGGGTCTGCAGTCAAAGGGCGGCCTACTGGGCGGCCTTCGTCCCTCCTGCCCGGACTCTGCCTCTGGGGCCTCCCCTTGTCGCGCTGCCGCCTCTGAGAGCCAGGGGTCAGCTCCCCGGGCGGCCGGGGCTGGTCCCCAACTTATTCCATCAGGTACTCCAGGGGTGAGTCCCGCGGTCAGGGCGATTCCGATGCATGCTAGACTGAAGAGCCACTGTCATATTGAATCAGCCTTCCAAAAGCATCCTTTGCTCTCTTTCCAGAAAGGAAAAGCATCTCTGCCATTCGGGTCACGGGACAAGCTCCTGGACCTTGTTCTTTCGGGGCTGATCTGTAGATTTCGGCCTGTCAGGTGAGCACGGGGTGACATTTGTCTCAACTTGGTCCCCAATTCTCCCCACTTGATGCATTAGGTAGTAGTTTAGTCTGTGATGCATCAGTTTGACATATTATATTTAGGTAACTAAAGGGAATTGATTTTTTTTTTTCCGCAACAGGGTCTCGCTCTGTTCCCCCACTCTGGAGTGCGGTGGCGCGAGCACAGCTCACTGCTGCCTGGAACTCCTGGGCTGAAGCGATCCTCCCGCCTCAGGCTCCCAAGGCGCGGGGACTATAGGCGTGAAGTTCCCGCGCCCTGCCTGTAATTGCTTTTTAAATACTTTGTTAACCCCCCTCCTTGCCAAAAGCAGTTTGTCATTAGTAAAACGATACATTTGTATTTCTTTTTCTTTTTTAATTTTAAAATTTTTTTCCTCCTTTTTCCTTTTAATTCCTTGCAGTTTACATTTCTGTTTCTTTACTGTACAAACAGGACCTTCGGTTCAATGTAGAATAGCATATAATTTGTGTCTTTGCCTTGTTTCTGATCACAAACGGAACTATTTTACTATTTCATCTTTAAATAGGATGTTTGCTGTGGGTGTTAGTAAACTTTTTTTCTGACTAATAAAACCTTTTCCCTTCTAGTCTTTTCTAGTGGGCAAATTATTATTACCAATGGATATTGAAATAGAGTCATCACTATTTTATATCTAAAGTGATAAGTCATATAATCTTTGTTTTCCTGTTAGCATGGTGAATTATATTAATAATTCAGTTTTTAATCATCTTTCATGAAATGAACTTAGTTTGTAATTTATTCTCTTTATTCATTTCTCAACTGTACTAATATTTTTATATCATTTTGCAATTGTGTGTATGAGATCTTTCATATTTTTTTGAGTTGTACTCTTCTGGTCTTAAAAATAAAGGAAAACATTTTTCCTCTACATTAGAATCCATTATGTATTTAGTCACTTTGCCTGTAAAACAGTTTGCAACTTCTGTTTGCCTTGTGGACATGTTTTAATCTAGCGTTTTTTCTTTAATGACTGTATGTAATCTTATTTTGTACTTATTTTTGGTCATTTCTGGAAAGTTGTACTGCATTTTAGAAATTCATTAGTTATCTGTATTTCTTTATGTCTATGTGTATTTTAATTTTTGATGTATTCTTCCTGTGACATCTGTATTTATGACACATTCATAACTTTTTCTGTCTATGCTCTGTTGCTCTTTGCCAATCTCATTAGCTTTTCAAAGGATACATTTTTAGCTTTTATGATTTTATTTTTTTAAATATTAATTTTGTCTTGTTCTTTTTTCTTTCTAAATCTTTGTACTGTTCTTTTTTTCAACCCTACAAATCAATGGTCAGCCTATTACTACTGATTTCTTTTCCTCTAAGAGTTGGTTATGCTTATAAATATATTAATACTTCTACTAAACCAGCTGTGGATTTCCAGTGTTATCTGAAATAGTTAATTTAAGTTTTTGCTTCTACTCTGTCCTATAACCAGTACTGATTTGTTTCTACTTATCCCTGTAATGTGCTGCATTTTTATATAGCATGCACTACTACTTGAAATATTTTGTTTATTTATTGTCCTTGCCTAAAAGATTATAAATTCCAGGTGCTTCAGGATTTCTTTATTTTGTTCAGTCTTCATTCCATGTCACTGCATGTAGTAGTGTCAGGGTAAATATCACCTGAATAAGTACAAAATGGGGGAAAAGGGCCAGGCACGGTGGCTCACACTTGTAATCCTAGTATTCTGGGAGGCTGAGGCAGGTGGATTGCTTGAGTTTAGGAGTTCAATATCAGCCTAAGCAAGAGCGAGACCCCATCTCTATTAAAAATAGAACTATCCAGGTGTTGTGGTGGGCTCTTGTATTCTTCAGCTACTTGGGAGGCTGAGGCAAGAGGATCTCTTGAGCCCAAGAGTTTGAGGTTGCTGTGAGCTATGACACCATAGCACTGTATCAAGGGGGACATAGTGAGACTGTCTCCAAGAAAAAAGAAGAGACAAGGACCTTGAGGGAAGCATCCTTGCTCAAGACATAGAGCTTTTTCAGGAGAAGGAGCTCAGAGATAGCACATTTGAATAGAATTCTTCATTTTTCTGCTCTCCATAGCACCCAACAGGAGTCCAGACTAAATCCTGATAATGTTAGCAAATTAAGGTCTTTTTTTTTTAATGTAATACTGTTTATTTAACTTTAAAAACATTTCAGCATTCTAAACATACAAAAAATAACAGAACGTTGCAAATGTGTTTAAGTACAGAAGGTTCTTGAACTTTCATTGATGCAGCGGCTCTTGCGCTTGCCGCTTTGCCAACAATGAAGAGTTCTACGGTTTGTTTTAAAACAAACAGTTTAAAAACTACCTCACTTAACTAAAAAAAAAAAACCAAACACTTCTCATGCCAGCTGACCCCCCTTTGTCCACAGCTAAGAATGGCAGCAGAATGCTATGTCACTATATACAAAAACAAGACAACCTGAAGCTAAATGGATGCCCGCCTCATTGTCAACAGGTCCAGTTCACAGTGCACACCCTGAGCTACAGCCCCTCTGAAGGGCATCTTTCCCCATGGCCTAACGCCAAGCAAGGAGCAGCAAGAGTTGGTCTCGGTTGTTTTGTTCTTTCTACAAACTATAGATATGTACAGTTGATAACTCAGGATTTCTAGCCAATAACCATACAGTTAACACCTTACAAATTAAAAAAAAATGCCAGAAACATCTTTAAATGCCTTGTCACACCAACAGCAAAGTGCACAGAGTGAGGAGAACACAAGAGTGCCTTTTCATTTTAAAAATGTTTGGAAATATGTACAACTTTGATACAGTTTCAGGGTGCTCCAGACACCTATGGTCACTTCATGTAAACCACTGACAATTTCTAGAGCACTTTGAGACTATAATATGATCATGATCAAATTTTGTGATTAAACCTAATGAGGGCAATAGACATTTTTCAATTAAGAGATGTGTCATTTACGGCGCTCCCCTACTCTAAGGTATTCACAAGGAGACAGATAAACAGTTTTTTATTCATCCTCTTCCTCCTCCTCCTCTTCATCTTCTTCATCTTCCTCTTCCACCTTTTTCCTGGCAACTTTAGTGGGACCCTTTGCACCATCAAACTTTCCTTTAGACTTGTAGTCAGCGACATCCTTCTCATCCTTCTCCTTCAGCTTGGCTGCCTTAGTGATGTAAGGCTGCTTTTCACTGTCACTTAAGTTATTCCACATCTCACCTAGCTTTTTTGCCACATCTCCAATAGAGATACCAGGATTTGTAGACTTGATCTTGGGGCGGAATTCTGAACAGAAGAGGAAAAATCCAGACGATGGCCTCTTGGGGGCATTCGGGTCCTTCTTCTTTCCTCCTTTAGCCGGTCCATAACCCTTCATTTCCCTATCATAGCGGACTTCTATCAGCCTTTGCCATTTCATCAAATTTAGACTTCTCTTTCCCAGACATTGCCTTCCACCTTTCAGAGCACTTCTTGGAAAATTCTGCAAAATTTACAGGGGCCTCTGGGTTTTTCTTCTTATGTTCTTCTCTGCATGTCTGCACAAAGAAGGCATAGGCAGACATCTTGCCCTTTGGTATCTTGGGGTCACCTTTAGCCATCTTGACTGTATTGTTCGCTAGTCTCGCAAATTAAGGTCTTAATATCAACTATAATTTAAGGTATGTACTCAGAAATGTACTCATTGGTCATTTGGGCATTGAAGATAAATAGACTAGCATTGATATCCTGCCTCAGCAACCTTCTAATTGGGTAACACTGAGCATGTAGATTCCTCAACTCTAAAGTGTAGTAATAATATCTGATTTGCAGAGTTTCTATGAGAAGTAAATTTTCTAAAATATGGACATCTCTTTGCAAAGTCTCTTTGTTGCTCATATGGCACAAATTGTTATTAATATACTAAAGAATGTTGCAAATTTTTTATTGGCTAGTAAAATACTAGTTCTACTGCAGTGGAAGTAATTTGAAATTTTGTCCTTTGAAATTTTGTGATATTATTGGTACTATTCTCAGGGATGACATAAGTCAAGTATTCTTATTTTATTACTACTGTACTGTCCAGGCAGATTTTAGCATGTGAACCACAGCATTGCTGTCTTCTCTGCCTCCTTGTGTGGGATTCAGTGGGTTGATTCTTTTTCTCAGAAACTGGATTTTGGTGAACTTCACAGCTTATGGGATGTGGGGGCAGTGGTCAGGGAGCAGTAGTGCCTGCTAGCCAGCCAAGGGATGAAGTAGTAAGAAATAATGGGAATGGAACTCTCAGAAACTAGGTGTATAAATCAGTACTCTCTTGGATTTGCTCCTTGATACATTTTTGCTTTTTGTTATCATGGGAAAACTGACCCCAAAACTTGTTTAGAATTCAGTTAGCTTACAGAATAACACTTTCAACCTCTTCTTTTTGATCCTTAAGGACCAGAGCACTATTTTCTAGTTCTAGGGGAGATAAGGTTGGTCCACCTTCATATAAAATTAGTGTATGCTTGGGTATCTTGGGGTGTGTGTATGTGTGTGTGTTTATATGTATTTTGAGGGGAGTTGTCACTCATTATAGATGTGCTGCAATATCCCAGTTTATGAGTGTAGGAATTGTGGGGAGATCTCATGTTACTTTTTCCTTACCCCTAACTTCTCAGTATCTTGCTTTTCTTTATGAAGGGGACATGGAGGAAGAAAGGACAGCTACTGAGTTACAGAAAAATACGGTACAGGTAAGTAACAGGTAATAATTCTCTAGAAGAATATTTCTATTCTCCTCCTAATTGTTTTAGAGCACAGGTTAATAATCTATTTCTGTATCAGACTTCATCGTAAGTATTTTAGGTTTTGAAGGCTATAGAGTTCCAATACTACTTTAGTTATTTAAACAGGTGGCAGGTTGGATTTGGCTCATGAGCCATAGTTTGCTGACCTCTGACCTAGAATACAAGAAAATATGGTCTGCTATGGATCTGGTTTGAAAAGTTGTGTTTCTGTAGGCTTCTGGGCCTCTAATGTTTATGAAAAAAAAAAAGGAAAAGCTCCTATTCCTTCAGTGTTTTTATTGATTAAAACCTTGTCTGGACTTGACTCTGCTTTTCATGTTCTGCTGATTGCTATGGCAGGAATAAGGTAGCAGGTGAAATTGTCTCTGTAATAAGAAATAGATGGTGTCAGTGTGGGAATTATTCATTTCCAGAAAATTTCTCTTATTTCTATGATATGCTCTGGACTTTTCTGGACCATTCTAAGACTAGAACTGATCACTGTGTGTGATATTATGAAATATACAATAAATCCAGAATTATAAACATCTAACTTACATTCAACTCACACTTAGGAATAGAGGCTATTACAATAAGTCCCCGAGTTATGCACATCACAATATGCATTGTGATGTATGGCTCACAATTATGAACAGAGGCTATTACAGGTAATAGGTAAATGTACCTATCAACTTACATACAAATTAAACTTAAGAACCAACCTATAGAGCCTATCTCATTTGTAACCCAGGCGACAGCATGTATACTTGGTTTTTTTCTGTTTCCCGGCACAGAGCTCCTAAAACCCTTGGACTCTCTAGAGCATTAAGAGTAATTTTTTGTGTGCTAAGGAGATGACTGGTGGCTAGCAGTCCCTAGACAATCTCAGGATGGGGGTTGGTTCAGAAAGATGGAGGCATAATTAGAAGGTTTGGATTTTCAGCTCTATCCCCCAACCTCTGTGGAGGGGAGCAGGCTAAAGACCAGTGATTTACTAAATCGTGCCTATGTAATGAAGCTTCTATAAAAATCCAAAAGGACTGAGTTCAAGGAGCTTCTGGATGACTGAGCACATGGTGGTTCTGGGAGGGTGGCATGGAATCTCTTTGCCAATT